CTCACTCCCGGGGCACACTGAGACTGCTATTGAGACTGGGCGTGGTGGTGGGCACCTGTAATCCCAGCACTTGGGAGGCTGTAAATAGGAGAATCACTATGAGTCTGATTTATGCAGTGAGACCCTGAACTCCCTGTAGACCGTTCCCTAAAATACAAAAAATAAAAATAAAAATAAAGGGACAGCCAAATAGCTCAGCAGATTAAAGTACCTGTAAGCAGGCGCAGGGGCCAGGGGTTTGTTTCGTGGGCCTGCCATGCCGGCCCTGCCCCCAGGGTGCACTGAGACAGCAACTGAGACTGAGCATGGTGGCACAGGCCTGTCATCCCAGCTCTTGGGAGGCTGTAAACAGGAGGATCACTATGGTCTGATCCAATAGTGACACCCTGAACACCCTTGTAGACCCTTCCCTAAAATACAAAAAAATAAAAAATAAAAATTAGCCTTTGAACTGTTAGAAATATTTTCAGACAACACGATAGTCCTAGCCAATTTTTTTCTGAGCTACACTTTCAAAAATCACTCAAGTGTTAGGTGTCTCTTTGTGAATATGAAATGTGATAGCTATGCTCACCTCAAAGTGTTATAACTTGGCTCAAAAGAAACAATCAAGCCAGGCACAATGGTGCACCCCTGTAATCCCAGCACTTGGAAGGCTGAGGCAGGAGAATGGCTGCTAGTTTGAAGCCAACCTGGGCTCCATAGTGAGTTCAAGCCTGGTTTAAACTACATAGCAGGACTCTGCCTTAAAAAAAAAAAAAAAAAAAAAAAAAAAAAAAAGGCTAGGGAGATAGTTCAGTGGCTTAAGTGTCTGCCTGGCAAATGCAAGGTCTTGAGTTTGATCTCTGGTACCAAAACAAAAGAAAAACAACTAGGCTAGACATGACAGCATACATCTATGACCCAGCATGCTGGGAGGGTGAGGCGTGGTGGTGCGTGCCTGTAATCTCAGCTCTTGGGAGGCTGTAAACAGGCCGATCACTAAGAGTCCAATCTAGTAGTGAGACCCTGAACACCCTGTAGACCCTTCAAAATTAATGTACTATAGAATTAATGTAATTATATACATATATATATATTCATGAGGATAAATGGGTAATATATTCCACATAAAGGGATTTTAAACATGTTTTGTACAATGGACACCTATAAATAGTTCAAAAATATCACTGGCAAAGCACTGTGGTTACCGAGTTGTGATGTGTCTGCTTTTGGAAGGATTTCCAAATTCTAGGTTTCTTAGGTGCAGTCTAAATTCTGTCTCAAAGTCTCTAGGGCAAAGCTAGTCCTACTGAGCTCTTTCAGGGCTTTTTGCTGGGCAAACCTGAAATCCTCAAGCACTTTAAAGGTCAAAGGGAGTGGTTGTCCAAACTAGTTGATAATGGCATCCTCCCACCCTAGGGAGGGTAGAGCTGTTTCCTTGGAAGCGTGGAAGGAGAGCTGGCAAGCAGTGATACCTGATTACTAGCCCTAAATTTATTTATTTATTTATTA